TTGTTCCTAACTAACCAACAAAACAGATCCTCTTCATGAGGGAGTAGTCCTGCAGATTTTTAGTAGGTCCTGAGAAATCTAACGGCACAATGAGTAAAGAAATCTCCTCTTTGCTGCTTACTGTTCTCCCTAAGTTGATCAATCAATGCACATCTGTATGGAAAAAGCCACATTAGAGGATAGGAAGCGCATAATATACTGACTGTGCTGACTAAGTTTTGAAGGATGCAGTTGCCAGACTGGTGGGTGGGGGTGAGTAGAAGCAAACCCAGTGGTGATAGAATCAAACCAATGTACAAACTAGTTGACCTTATTCTTGATACTGTCACATTTCAAAGGAATAAGCACCACACAGTCTTTGTGGAGGCAGTCATTCCATTACAATAAGGAAACCCATCATGTGTGGTAAATGAATTAGTATTCAGAACAGATCTCCAACCATTTTGTAATGCAACTCGTCAGCGGAACCTGTCTTCCACCAAGACCTGTTACCTCGTGGCCTGGCATATTCCTCACTTTGCCGCTGCCATCAGATTAACGAATCGCATCTGTTTCAATGAGAAGTGAAAGCAGAAGCGTCTCTTGGCGTATCTAAAACTGCAACACCAGTCTAGTGAAGCTAGGGCTATGTGTATACTAAACAACAGAAGCAGCATACTTTAAACAAAGCTGAATGATTTCCCCCATCCAACAACTCAAAGTTCTGCAATCCTGCCATTTCCAACTGAGATGTGGGGTGAAAGTTAGCAACATTTATTGATGTTTCTTAAGTGTCGCTGTGTCAAAATTCTAAAACTCCTTGACATCACTGTGGATGTACCTATATTATTTGGATTGCAGTGATTCAAAATGATTCCTCAATGCCAACTTCTCAAGGTCACTTACAGTCAGATGGTAAATGCCAGTTGGCATACCTTTACCAGCAATGCTTAGATCACGTGAATTAAAACCGGTTTTGTCACAATCTGTCTTGCAGGATCTTTTTAATAGGAAAAAAGTTGAATCATGTACTTCTCATCTTTTCCCTGAGTCCTATAACAAGTAAAACAATATTTGACAATAGCTGATTTTTTTGGAAGCTTAAAGCTTTGATTCTTTTTGTCAGCATCTTCCTCACTTGAATTTAACTTTCATTTATTTCCATTTCTGACATCATCTTCTGGCCTACTTCACCTTTGCAGTAATATTGAAATAATATTCCATGTTAATGCTATATAATTTTTATGTACTTCAGTATGATTCCTTAACCTTTCTCCTCCCATTTTTGACAAATTTATTGACTTTGTTTGAGGATCTAGCTAGTAGAGTTTATTGAGGAGCCAGTTTATTTGACTTTCAGAAGACGTTATCTAAGGTCCCACGTAAGAGATTATATGTAAAATGAAAGTACGTGGGACTGGTAGTAGTCTACTGACATGGATAGAAAACTGGCTGGCATACAGGTAGCAAAGAGCAACAATAAACAGATCAGTTTTGAGTGACAGGCAATGACTAGTGGGCTACCACAGAGATCAGTGCTTGCATCCAAACTATTCATAATATATTTTACTGATTTCATGTGAGGAAACTAAATACAATATCTCCCAAGTTTGCAGATGTTATGGAGCTGGTTAGGAGGCTATTAGTGAGGAGAATGCAGATTTGCTTCAGTGTGGTTTGGACAAATTGAGTGGGTGGGCAAAAGTATGGCAGGTGAAATATAAACTGGGTAAATGGTGGGGTTATTGACTTTGATAGCAAAAGCAGGAAGATGAATTATTATCAGAATAGCGATAGATTGGGAAAGGGAGTGGTGCAGTGAGATCTGGATGTCCTTGTACACCAGTCACTGAGAGTAATCATGCATATGTAGCAGGTGGTGAGGATGGCAAGTAGTATGTTGGCTTTCACAGTGAGATGATTCAAGTCCAGGAGCAGAGGTATCTTGCTGCTTTTATACAGGGCCTTAGTGAGGTTACACCTGGAGCATTATGTGATGTTTTTGTCTCCTGATGTGAGGAATGATGTGCTGGCTATGGAGCGAGTGCAGCAAAAGTTTACCAGATGGGTTCCTGGGGTGGCAGAACTGATGTATGAAGAGAGACTGGATCAATTAGGATGATATTCACTGGAATTTAGAAGAATGGGGTGGGGGAGGGATCTCCTGGAAACCTATAAAATTCTAATAGAGTAAGTGCAGAAAGGATGTTTCTGATGACTGGGGAGTCCAGAGCTAGGGGTCATGGTCTAAGGATATGGGGATAGACTGTTTGAGACTGATATTAGGTGTAATGTCTTCACCCAGAGAGTGGTGAACCATTGGAATTCTCTGTCACAGAATGCAGTTGAGGCCAAAACAATCGAGTTTTTTCAAGAAGGAGTTAGATATAGTTCTTTGGATGAAAAGGAACAAAGGGTTTGGGATGAAATCGGGAATAGGATCCTGAGTAAGATGAATGGCGAAACAGGCTTGAAAGGCCTAATGGCTTACTCTTCTTTCTACTTTCTATGTTCAAACTGTAGATTGAGTTGTTGTAGCTTCTCTTCATAGCTCATTCCTCCTATGGACAATCTTGCTGTTAATTTTCAAACCCTTTCTAATACATGAATCTGCTTGTGGCATGATGATCAGAATTGAATATGGTTTAGTCTGACCAGTACATTATAAAGCCCGCGTGTAATCTCTCTGTGCAAGTACATAATTCTACTGGTAACATATCCTGTTGTCTTTTTAAAATTGTTTAAATAACTGGTTATAAATTCTGCAATGGTGTCTGAAATTGGAAGTCTGAAAATCTAACCCCACAGTTAGAGAGAAAGGGAAGAGAAACTGGCGAAGTCCAAACTTGAAGCCTTGGTGCTAAAGAAAATAACAGAATTTTTTACAAAGGGTATGATTACTGGATATTTAGAAAATAATTCTGATTGGGCCGGGTCAACTTAGATTTATGAAGGAAAATAATGTTTGACAAGCCTGAGAGTTTTTGAGGATGTTATATGTAGATTCAATAAAAGGGAACCAGCAAATGTAGTATATTTTGATTTTGTAGAAGCTTTTATCCAAAACATTCCACAAAGGTGGTTAGTAAAGAAAATTAAATTGCATGGAATAGGAGTTGATATACTAACATGGATTGAGGATTGGTTAACCAACAAAAAGCAGAGCAGGAGTAAGGCTAGCAGGCTGTGACAAATTGGCTATCACAGGAATTTGCTTGCTGAGCTTTTTCCAGTTTATAATAATGATTTGGAGTGAGAGGACTAATTGCAATATTTCCAAGTTTGCAAATACAGAACTTGGGAATATGATTTGTGAGGAAGATGTGAAGAAACTTAAAGGGTTAGACAGACTAAGTGAACAAAAGCATGGCAGATGAAATGGAATGTGTGTCAGTGAGAGGTAGAGGAATGAAGATGAAAAATACTACTTCAATGGTAAGAGATTGTAAACTGTTGATATCTGAAAGGAGTTAGGTATCTTTGTTCATAAGTCACTGAAAGCTAGCTTGCAGGTGCAACAAGTAATTTGGAATGCAAGCGGTATGTTAGCCTTTACCTTGGATTTTTGGTGCTGAAGGAAAGAAGCCTTCCTTCACTTGTATAGAACGTGATTAAATCATGCTTGGAGTTTTGAATAATTTTGGTCCCCTTGCCTAAGGAAGGCTATACCTGCACTGAGTTTTACACTCATTGTAGAAGCTGTAAATGCACTTGATGCTGGCACACTCATGGTTTCCTCTCAGGAGGAAGTAGTTCTCAGGGAATTTGATTTTATAGAGCAACAGCAAACAGATGTGTTTAGTGGCTGCTTGCCTCAATTGGCGTAGTTACTGTCAGGAGGGAACTCCACCATACTCCAACAAGAAGAGCAGATAATAGTGCTGACAATATATATCAATGCAGATTTTTAAGAGGGTTTCAAGCTCCAGCAGAATGGGCTGACTGAGGAAAGATTTTCTGGGATATCGAGCATGATGGTGGAGTTGATTATTGAGTTTCTTGATTTCAGCTGTGGGGAGGAGCAGGGTTGGGGTGTGAGGGACACAAACAGGGATAAAGAGAGACCCCTGTGGGTAGGGGCACAGACTGTATACTTGCCAGAGAGGAAGTGCAACGGAGGTTCACCCGATTGAATTCCTGGGATGGTGGCACTATCTTTTGAGGAGACAGCTTGCGTTCAGAAGGGTGGGAGGCAAACTCTCAGAAACTTAAAAATGCTTGAAGGGATAGACAGTCAGTATAGAGAGGGTGTTTTCCTCAATCTGTGTAGCTCAGAATCGGGGATACAGTCTCAGAATAAAAGGCAAACCATTCAGTACAAAGATGAGGTGGAACATCTTCATTCAGAGGATGGTGAATCTTTTGGCATTCTCTCCCAATGAGGGTTGTGGGAGCTACAGTTTTGAGAGAGTTCATGTCCAAGATAATTACTGATGGATATTGACAGAGACTGGGATCATGTGGGAATTTAGTGGTATGGCCTAAAATGACACCGCTGGCTCAAATGGCTGAATGGCCTAATACTACTCCTAAGGTTGTAAATTTGTATTGTTGAGCATCTGTGCAAAACAGTTTAATTCAGTTCCATCAATTGCATTTTCGTTTTGTACCTTTAATCTGTCTAATGTGTAGTTCTTTACCATTGACTTGTATTTCAAAATCCTTAGGTTTTATTGTTTGGCCTCAATCTTAATTTTAATACCTTTTATGACAACCATAAAGATCTTGACTGTGAAGTTTTACTAGGTTATCTGTTATTGAAAAGGTATATGTATGCAGCATTTACAAAGAACCTTAAGGGCATCAGTTGTAATTTTATTTCTGGAATGCCAAAATTTGTCTGAATTTCAGATTTTATAACATACTGCAATTCTTAGTATTCTCTTTAAAACATTTATGAAACACCTATGAGGATAGTGTATTGACTTTGTAAAAGTAAATGGTTGTAATGTGTTTTTTTTTTCTGATCTGATCCTACACAATAATTCTAAAGCTTAAAACACACTTAATATTGTTAACAGTTTTGGAAAGAAACAGTTGAAGACCACGAAGTACGAGAGCTTATTGGAGACAAAAGTCAAAAATCTAAAGGTAAGACAAAGTTGCTGAGCAGGCGCAGCAAGAGCCAGCACAGGCATAACTATTCAGCTACTGTGGGGATTGCTGACCTCCCAGTTCAGAAGGCTGTTTCTTTTAAATTTTCCATTTTGACTACCACTCAAACTGACCTATCCTTCATCAATTCGTCTGCCTCTCGTGCTGCTGTCTTTAGCGTTTACAACTTTGGAGGAATCTCAGCCAACATCAGCTTACTAACCAGGTCAATAATGGAGAGCCTTATGATCTAGTTGTTGTTTTTAAGGAAGACATTGCATAGTAATGGATTTTGATGCGGTGGAAATGTGATCTTGGGAGATTTGGGGTTATCTTTGGTAATATTTTTGGAATATAGCAATGGCATGAGTGAGTGGGAGAGACTCCTAATAAACCACATGAAGGAAGTAAATTGGAGCCTCTTTCATCGCTATCAAAAGCTCTAGTCTTCAACATGCATGTAATAGTGTACATTGCCACAGAGACGCTGACTCCTTGGGGAACCATTTGGCTCAATTGCCTGGACTGCCCGGATGGATCAGAAGTGTGCCAACAGTGACATTCAATCCCTGTTCTAACTGGGGTGGATTTGGGAACCTGCCTCTTTGCCTGACCCATGGTAAAGGTTGTGGTATTGTGGTTGGATCTTGGCAGACAATCCAAGAAGAAATACTAATTCTGGAATATTGGGAGGGGAAGCAAGAAAATGGAGGGAATTTTAAGGAGGTGGATTTTAGACTTGATTTCAAGGGAAGACTTTGATCTCAACAGCTGTTCTAATTGTATGGAAAATGTTAAATTAGCTAAGGTAGTATAGTATCTCCAACTACAAGTAGGATGTGACACTTTCCAAAAACAAGATTAGATGGTGCAGTGCTGAAAGGAGAAGAGGGCTATGATTTTTAAAACTGATTTTGTGCTTTTAAGTTTAATGATCTTGTCAGAACTGTCATAAGATGACTTTTAAGGGCGGTTTTGCACCCAATTTTCTGAAGGCAAATAATTAGTTCATTTGATATAGTATTAAGCATCAAAAATTGAACATGTATATTCTCTACTAAAAACAGTTGGATACAAGTTGAAAAGCTGATTAACATTTCATAATTTTTTTTTGTTTTTTTGTAGACTGATTTTATTCAATCTTGGACAGGTATTCCTTATTGAAGCCTGACAGTTTGTGTGTTTATTTTTGGAAGCAATTCATTAATATGTTAATGGTACTGGCGCCAGTTCATCAAAAAATCCTGATAGCAGTATAGAAGTAATTGTGCGGAACTGTGTATATGAAGACCAAAAGGCACCAACACAATAACTCCCCATTGTGGAAGTAGCACCAGTTCAGTTACTCAGTGGGGTAGGTCAGAGCTGATGAACCAGTTCACTTTTGAGATCATTTATTTTTGAAAGAAACTTCTCATTAAGATGAGAACTCTTTTCTCCAAGAATGTGTTTTTTTTTTTTTTTTTTTTTTTTTGGAGCTCTGTTCCTCAAAAGGCAGTGGAACCGTAGAATTTGAATATTTTTAAGGCAGTAGCTGATAGATTCTTGATAAAGGGATGAAAGTTATTGGGTAGGCAGCAGAAATGAGGAACAGTCAGATGAATGGCAGAGCTGACTACAGGTGCCAAATGGTACTTTGTGCTCCTCATTCATATGTGTCCTTTTACATTCCATAAGCCATTTTCCCCTAAAAGGACAAGCACATCCTGTAGTTATTCATGTTAAGTCTACAAGGAGACATCGGAATTCTCCTAACCGTTATTTGATAATCCCTGTAATGACACAGTTAAAATACTATTGTACAAATTATACATCTGGAATCCAATATTCTGTGCTATACCACGTTGAACTACTGCTTTCTGATTTGTTTATTGTTTCCAGTATGATACTTGATGGTGAGATTTTGCAGGGAGTGTTACTTATTCTGGGTTGAAATGCTGATATTCAGTCTAATGCTGATGCCAGCTAATTGTATGTAGTTAAAGTTGCAGCTGTGGTCTTTTTACAAAAATAATATTAGAGAATTATTTACAGAAGAAGAAAATGAAGCATATAATAAAAATTTAGTCAAAATATAGTCTAGATTTTTATTCTAAGTTTTTTTTTTACAGTTTTTCAGGTATGGAATTACAATTGTAGATATTTAACAAGAACAGCTTTTATGCCTTTTGAATTATTTGCTGTAAAATACAAAACGAATCCCATGGCCCTTCTGTATTGCCAAAGATCTATATCGTGTTTACATCAAAGGTAGAGACATATGTCTTTACAGCAAAGAAGGAAATTAGAACTGTTTCTTTGAAGCTTACTTTGGACTAGTTTATTGGCTTGGTCTTCAATTCAACTAATGTTTTTAACTTTTTAAATTATGGTTAAAAATTAAATGCTGAAACGGTCAACGTAGGTTGAACATTTAAGACACGAGGTGGAAATTCTTCTCTCAGGTGGCACAATCTGTGGAACTTTTTACCACAGAGGGCTGTCACGACTGGGGTCCTTAAATATATTCAAAGCTGAGATCAGTAAGGGAAATAGTGGTTTATGGGGTGGAGGCAGGAAAGTGACGCTGAGGATGATCAGATCAGCCATGATCTCATGGAATGGCAGAGCAGACATACTGGCTGAATGGCATGTTTCTGCTCCAATGTCTTTTGGTGTTATTCATCTTGCTTGATTGGCGTGAATGTTTTATGATCTGTCCTATTTAGTGCTGTGGTTATGATCCATAATATAGCTGAATTTTTTCCGGAATTAACACTTCATGTTTAATTAGCTACCTAACAGATGCTAGAACTGCTAAATGTTACACCATTTATAATGGATAGACAGCCACCCGATACAGCAATGACTGAATGTCATAATTTTGTTTCAATCTTTGCCCCTCCACCCTAGAAGCTGCTAGCGATGATCGATGGGACTCTGTCTTGTTCCACCCTCCACAGAAGTTGGGCATTAATGATCTGGAAGGGCAAAGGGTGCTACAGATAGCTGTTATTATCCACAATCTGTCCTTGGAAGAAGGAAATGCCAAGCTGCTAGCTAACCGAACGTGCCTGCGGTTTCTGCTGTTATGTGCTCACAATAGACATGTCTCACTTAAGCAAATGGGACTGGAAACACTGGGGAATGTGATGGCAGAGGTAAGACAATGCAACTGTGTTTTTGTCATTCAATTAGTGAATCTAGCTAATCATTATTGAATGTCTTGGCTTTGTAAAATGTGGACATCTCTTATTGTATGAAACTGAAGGACACCTGATTTTTCTAAGATTATCTGTACCGCACAGCAAAATTATAGATCATTCAAGCTGAACATATCATTGAAACAATAATGACATTCTAATTAATAAAGGTTTCTTACTAGTCACTGCCATTTGTTCGCATTCTTCATCCAAAGGTGGTCTTTAATTATTTGCTTGTATTATTAACTGCTCAATACAATCCAGAGCTAGATTTCAACCGTGAGTGTTAGGGATGAGAGAGAGGTGAGGAAATTGTTTAAATGTCTTGGCTGGGCTCAAATGCAAAGATATGCACATCACTTCTATTTAAATGCAACTTCTAGCTGTAATTATTTTAACTTGTGTGCCAGACCTTTTCAAGGCTTCGGATTTCTAAATTTGAACAAGGAAGAATTTCAGGTAATTTATATCAAGGTATGGAAATTGAGTCTAATTCTATATACAAGGGTTAACACCATCAAAATATGTAAATTTGTGAAAAGGAGATTATCTGCAACTAATTCAATGGCAGAATGTGGCTTTTCTTCTTCTCCACATCAGCTTGTGAAAATGAGGATCTCCTACGGTCCTGCAAACATTCTGTCATGAAGTTCAAATGGCTTCATTCGTAAAACTCAAGTGGAGGTACCTACAGGTGTTCTAGCCAGTATGATTGGTGGTTCAACTGGCTAATTCTGGAATGCACAGAGCTATAGAGGCATGCAGGTGAATCCTATGGTTCTGCGAAAGGACAGTCTGCAAAAGTCTGGTGCAGAAGGCAAGCACGGCAGACCTTCTTTTAAGTTTAGCTACCACTCGTTCCACCACTGTACAAAAACATACTTAGTCTGCTAATTGGGCTTGTGCTTTGTTATTTTCCTGTATGAACCTGAGAAATCAAAGGGTGTTCTGAAGACATTTCAATCTGTTGATTTCCATTCTGTTTTTAAACAAAAACTTGGCCTTGTTTCTCTATATGGCGTGTGTCCTGTCTTTTCAAAAATGAAAACACATTTGTGAGCACATAAGAGATTAGAGTATCCATTTCACATGCACACTGGGTTTCATTGTTAAGTCCAAAGTTGTGCTATTCACATGCCTAGAGATTGGATAGTAAAGATTTTCAGATTGATTTGACTCAGCCAGTGGATGTTTTGAGTAATGATGCAGTAAGCAAATGTGTTCTTTCATTTTCTAACTACAGTGGTATTCCAGTCAAATTGGCAAAATGACAGAAATTATAATGAACTGAAAATATACTTCTGCTAAGATGCATTTTGTTAGTGAAGTGTATGTGCGTACGTGCCACTGACTGTCATTGCGCTGAACCTTTAGGAAATCTCAAAGTACATGCTGTATGGTTGAGTGTGATCAAAAATCAAGTGACTGGAAGGAACATAAGAGCAGGAGTAGATCATTCAGCTTGTTGAGCCTGCCCTACCATTCAATGAGATCATTGCCTTTTACTCATCCTATCCTCAACCCTGTATACCATGAGTAATCAGAAATCTATCAGTCTTTACCTTAAACGAACTTGAAGACTGAGCCTCCACAAAGCTCTGTGGTAGAAAATTCCAAATGTTCACAACCGTCTAAGTAAAATAATTTCTCGTCTCCAATCGAAGTGACTTCTGCATATTTTTAAAATGTGTCCCCTTGTTCTAGACTCCCTAACCAGGGGAAACATCTGACCTCCACCTACCCTTCCTATCACTTTTTGTGCTTTATAGCTTTCAGTGAAATCACTTCTCATTCTTCAAAATTCTAGAGAATGCAGGCCCAATTTGCCCAAACTTTCTTCATAGGTTAGTCCCACCATCCTGCAAACAAATCTGGCAAACCTTTGTTGTACTCCCTCTGTGGCAGTAATATCTTTCCTGAGACAAGTAGACCAAAATTGCTTGCAGAACTCCAAGTGGGATCTAACAAGCTCTTGTACAACTGAAGCAAGGCGTAACTGCTCCTGTACTTAAATCCTCTTGCACTAAAGCGTAACTTTCGATTAGTCTCCTTAATAGCTTGCTGCATCTGCATATTAGCCTTCAGTCTCTTACAGACAAACATACTTTGTACATTTACATTATCCCCACCTGAATGAAGATTTCCAAATAAGGGAGCTTAGACATCACTGTGAAGATGAATGTTGCAGCAGTGACTTACTTTCTGGTTATTAGGAGAATTAATGTACTGTAATTGGACTTGAACAGTTTTTAAAAAGGAGAAAGAACCTCCCACATTTTTGACTAAACGATTTTGAGGGACATTAATATGCTATATGCTTAATGTGAAGGACAAAGAAAGTATGTCACCATAAAAAGGAGTTGGGGGAGAAATGCAAAGATGCTAGTTTTTAAGGTTACTCTTCACATTTCAAAATTGAGAAAATTTATGCCTTCATTGTTCAAAAGAAAATGGGCAAGGTGAAGAAGCAAAGGTGAGAGGAGAAAAATAATCCTAATCCCATATTAGAAATGCTATCAGTTCTAAATCTAAATTCTTTCGTTATCATAATTGGTTGATATTGCAAATAAATGGTATGACAATGCTGAAACTTGGTAAGCCATAATTGGCATCAGACAACTGGACTGACAATATTTTCAAGAAATTTAGGTAATCTCAAGTATTTGATGTTTAACGTAATTGTCGGTTTTGAAAATCTAGTACTCTCACATCCGATGAATGCTTAGAGTAAAAAGTTGTTACATATAAATCATAAATAAGATGGTTGTGGCTTCCAATGTATCTGATTAGTTTAAAGCTTTCTGGAAACTTGCATGAAGTCCACTCCCAATGAATCAAATCCGTTTTTGATGCTAACAAACTATAATTACAAAATAATTCAAATTTAATAACTCCACATAAAGATTACCATTCTGACACTGATTTCAAATTTGTCATTCTTGTCAATATTTTCTTAATTTCCTGCTTTATAACTCAGCAATAAAATTTCTTTGCGGTTTGAAGGCAGTGTTCCTAATTTTTGGTGGGGGAGTAGTTCCTTTAATTAGATAAAAGCACAAATTAATGCCTGTCAAATATGGGCTTAAAACCCCAACCCACAAGAAGGAGTTCTTAAGCAGTTCTTGCTTTTTTTGTACTTTGTCTTTAACAGTTTGAGTAAAATTACTAGTTGCTGTGCAATTGAGCGAGTTTATATTGTAGATTGTGGTTCAATAGAGCCTAATTTCAACTGCTGAGCTCAAGTCCCTTAACCAATTATTTAAAGAATCCCATCCTGTTCAGTTTTTATGGGTTGAATTCAAGCATGCCAAATGATTCACATTTAACATCCACCATGTGATTTATTCAGAGCAGCCTTGATTGCAAGGTTCTTAAATTTACTTTTCTTTTCAGCTGCAGTTGGATCCCATTGACTTCCAAAGTACCCAGGTGATTTTTCACACCATTACAAAATGTCTTTTCTCTTCAGACAAGTGGTTTCGAATTAGAGGTAAGTCTTTCTGTCTGCAGGTTGAAACATACAGTTTTGAATATGATGTGGTGAATAAGTTGTATGGAGGTTCTATGTTTTTAAATGGACACCTTATTGGATTGCCTAATGGGTCTATTGACAGTTACACCTTGACAGGTCGGCAGATTTGAGGTGCCATAGGTAAACCAATAGCCTGTGCTACACTCCAGTCCTGGTGAAGCAGGTCTCAAGAACTTGGCTGTTTGCCAACAGTCTTTAAAATCATGAAATATGTATGTTTTGATTATTTGAATCATTACTTGGATTGACTGATGGATTGGATAAAGGCTCAGAATGCATTTTTGTTTACTGTCCCAGTACTGCCCTGCGTGTTTGAAAGCACAAAAAGGAGAATGTCGTTGCCCTTGTACTTGCAGATTTGCTTTAATTACATGGGTGTCACGTGAGAAACATACTCCTTCTGCATTGACTATTTTGTGCTGCTGTGCTTTACTTAGCTTATGTAGTTTACTTTGAAAAAGGAATCTCATTATCTTTTTGTACACCATCATTATTCAAATGAGTTATAATTGGCTGTATGTTGAGGGCTGACATCTGCAACTACAGATATAGCTCTAACATCCAAAGAACTGGAGGCTACATTATTGGCACAGTTTTTAAAAAAGACAAATAAATACATTGCTGTCACTTTTATAAATGCAGCAGAATTGGATTTCAGACCTTTTGGTTTTCCACATACTGAAGTATGTGGGAGGTATGTTTATAAGGAACCTAAATGAAAGAAAATTAGTTTAAAAATAGAATGAAGAAACTTAAATGACATTGAAAATGGGAAAGTAAAGCTTTGATCTGTGTTCAAATCCTACTGTCCCGAAGGCGTGTCCGTATAGGTTGATTAAAGAAGTTACAATTGCATTTTAAAGGCTTGCATTAGAATTGTTTTTACAATTAATATTTTAACTGAGAGGTTATCAAAATTGAACAATGAAGTGCAAGAAAGCAACAGGTGCTTGTTTAAACAGAGGCTCAAAGATAAAGTAATGAAGTAGGTGTACAAGCACACATGGGCCATAATGCAAGGAAGTAATATGACCTATTATAATATTTTATTCCTCAACCAGCATTAGTGTACCTGAACTGAACCTATAACTGAATAATTTAAAGTACTTTCTGTCAGGGAGTATCTGAGAGAGAGAAACAAAGCTGCTGTTTTTCAAGTCTAGGTTATGATTATAAATTGTCAATTCCATTGCTCTCCCTGCAGATATGGCCTGATTTGAGTATCTTCAGGATTTTCTCTTGATATTTCAGATTTGTAGCATCTGCAGCATTCTTGATTTTAATAATTTGCCTCCAAATTAGGACAATAATTGTTTAGTTTTTTTGAAATAATTTCTTGTCTTGTTCAATTCTATTGTGTGAAGCTCTTTCCAAGTTCCGCACTAAAAGCGATCATTTTCTTCTAAGGAATGGAAATCTTGGCTAATCTTTGCAAAATTGAGGAGAATGTTGATATTATCTGTGAGTGTGTGGAACAGGAAGCCTATCGAGAGATTGTGAACCATTTGTCTGTCCAAGATATCTTGCTGTTATTGGCCAGTCTGGAAGCTCTGTATATGTTGTCGAGTCTGGGAGAGGTGACTTGCACCAAGATTATCAAAGTGGAGAGAAGCATTGGTGAGTAATGATTTAAAGATGTTGACTGATGCCTGCTTTTCCTTTATGCAGAATGGCAGTCCATCCACCTTTTGATGTGTTGAGATGTTACTTTCAAAGTAATGCACATTAATACAAGTTTTTTTTTTTATTCCCTGTGTAATTATTACTTTGAAACGTGGTAACATAAGAATTAGAAACAGGAGTTAGCCATTTCACTCCTCAAATCTGCCCTGCCGATCAAGATCATGACTGATTGCTCCAGGCCTCAACTCCTCTTGGGGCTAGTTCAGCACAACTGTCAACATCCCTGATATTTCAAACATCTATCTACCTCCTCTTTAAATGCTTTCAGTAATTTAACCTTCACAACTGTCTGGAGTAGAAAGTTTCAGACATTCACTACCCTCTGGAAGAAGAAATTCTTTTCCATCTGTTTCAAATGAGTGTCCCTTACTTTGTGACCACGTACCCTAATTTGAAAAGGCCCCACTAATGGAAAGATCTTCTCGACATCTATCCTGTTAAACCCCATCAGAATCTTGTATGTTTCAACAAGATTACCTCTCATTCATCTAAACTCGAATGAATAAAGGCTTAACCTACCTAACCTGTTTAGCTGTTCTTGATAAGTCAACTCCTTCATCTCGGGAATCAGTAGAGTGAATCACTAGTGAACTGACTCCAATGCCAGTTTCTCCTTTTTTAAATACGGGACCCAAAGTTGTGCACAGTATTCCAGGTGTGGCTTCATAACACCCTATACAGTTGAAAACAGACTTTACTGTTTTTAAACTCTAAACTGCTAATAACAGGCTGAAATTCTGTTTGTCCTTAATTACTTGTTGCTTGTGTATCTACGTAATAACCTTTTGTGTTTCATGTACAAGAACACCCAGATCATTCTGTGCTGCATATATTTGGAGTCACTCTCCATTTAAATAATCTGCCTTTTAATTCTTCCTGCCAAAGTGCATGATCTCTTAGTTTCCTATGTTGAATGTCATCAGTCAAGTTTTTGCCAAATCACTCAACCTATCTGTGTTCCCTTGCAGATTCCTTATGTCCTTATCACAACATGCCCTCGTACCTATTATTGTATTGTCAACAAATGTGGATAAATTACCCTCTGCCCCTCTTGCAAGTTAGTAATAGAGGTAATAAGTAATTGAGGCCCGAGGGCTCATCCTAAGTGGCACTCTATTAGTTGCATATTTCCAATCTGAAAAAGAACCATTAACGCTGACTCTCTCTTCAAAGTATCAATCAACACTCGATCCATGTTAATATGTTAGCCCCAAAATCAGGAGCTCCTAACTTGTGCAATAATGTTTTATGTGGCACCCTGTCAAATGCCTTCTCAAAATCCAAATGCACTGCATGTCCTGTTTCCGTTTATCAACTGTACTTGTATATAGCCTCAATGAGCTCTAGCACATTTTTCAAACATGATTTCCCTTTCTCAAAACCATGTTTACTTTGATTTTGTTAAGCTTTTCTAAATGCCCTGCTGCTTCTTCCTAAATAACGGACTCTAGCATTTTCCACGTGACACTTGTTAGTTTAACTGACCTATAGTTCCCTGCTATGTGCCTCCCTTCCTCCTTGAACAGGCATGTCACAGTAGCAGTTATCTAATCCATTGATACCTTCTCAGAATCCAGATAATTCTGGAATGTTTTGGCCCGTGCCTCTGTCTCTGCAGCCACTTCCCTTAAAACCCTTGAATGCGGTCTGTTAGGACCGAGCAACTTATCTTGCTTTCGTCCTGTTAGTTTGTCAAATACTGTCCGTCATGATAGAGACTATAAATAAAATCTTTCCTCCAATTAACATCTTGCTTATCTGTAACTTTTGGGATTTTTATGTTGTCCCCATGAAGGCTGATGCACAATGTTGATTTAAATTTTCTGCCATTTCCCTGTTCACCACTACTGATTCCCCAATTGCATCCTCCCACACTTAGTTTAGCTACTCTTTATTTTTATATACCTGTAGAAGCTCTTGCTGTTTATTGTTATATTTCTTTCCATTGTACTTTCATGACCAATTTTCTCCCTCTTTGCTTTTTAGTTATCTACTGTTGTTTACTTAAAAGAATTCCAATCCTCTGGTCTACCACTGGCTTTTGTTGTTTTGTTTGCCTTGGCTTTTGAGACTTTCTTTGGCCTTTTCTTAACAATCGGTGGTTTATCCTTTTCATTGAGTCCTTTTTGACAGGAATAAATTCTTGCTGAGCATTAGAAATAGCTCCCTTAATGTCTACTACTATTAATTACTGACTTTTTCCCTTAATCAATTTTCCGAGCTGCATTAGTCAACTCTTTCTACACACCTTTGTAATTGTCCTTTAAGTTGAGGAGACTAGTTTGAGACCTGAGTTGCTTTCCCTTAAATTGATCTAGAAATGTTATGAAGTTGCAACTGCTTCCCCACCAGAATATCCTTAACTGTGCGTTATTTTATTTATACTGCCTCATTACACATTACTAGACCTGAAATAGCTTATTCCCAAGTCGGTGCTGCAACACACAATCTCTGATGCACTCTAGATATTCATCTTTCAGCTGACGGGAAAGATTTAAAAAGGACCTTAGGGGTAACCTTTTCAAGCAGAGGGTGGTGCGTGAGTGGAAAGAGGTGCCAGAGGAAGTGGTGGAGACGGGTACAATTAAAACATTTTAAAGGCGTCTAGATGGGTACATGAATATGAAGGTTTAGAGAGATGTGGGCCAAATGCTGGCAAATGGGACTTGGTCAAATTGGGATGTCTGGTCGGCGCAGACGAGTTGGAGTGAAGGATCTGTTTCCTGTGCTGTATGATTCTGTTGCCATTGCCCATCTAATTTGTATATTCAATAGGCACATTAAAATCATGTATGACAGTTGTAGTGTCGTCTTAATAGGTTTCCATTGTTTGCTCTTTTTATACTTCGTCCTACTGTGAGACAGCTCTCACTTGTGACTCCCTACCCTTGTCATTCCTTATTTACACGTAAACTGATTCTACATTATGATCTGTTGCACTTATATCATCACTCATCACCACACTGATAACCCCTTCATTAACAAAGCTACCCCACCTCCTGTTCCTTTTTTGCTTATTTTTCTGGAATGTCCAATACCCTTGAATATGGAGTTCTCAGTCTTGATAATTCTGTAACCACCACTCAATAGTAAATCATATTAACTTATTATTTCTGTTTGTGCCATCAAGTCATTTATTTAGTTACAAATGCTGTATGCATTCAGGTAAAAGGCCTTAAGCTTTGAATTTTTACCATTATAGCACTGCCTAGTTATAATTTTTGCTGCAGTTTTCTGCCAAATTTTCTACTCCTTCCTGGCACTGTTTGATTATCACTCATCTCTTCTCTATCTTGCACCTCTGTTCTCTCCATTTATTTTTGATTTTTCTTTTTTTTTCAAAACTTCCTTTCAGTTGACCCCTCCCCATCCATTAAACTGAGTAGTGCACGCACTGCCTTTGACTTTACATCCACAAAATTTTCGTCATTTCAAAGGTTGCAGAACATTATTTGATACCCATAAGATCTAGTTTCCAAAAGGGAATATTTCTTTATCAAGTCTGGACAATTAGATTTTTAGGTTGTGTGTTATGATGCCTAATTTCTACAAAATTAAGAATTTCAATTGAGGAATGCTCAATGAATAAAAGACATTGGATGAGCTTAGAACAGCTTTAAAACCAGCAGATACAGAACATTATAAATATTAGAGTTTTAAAAAACTACAATGAGAAAATAAAGGCCAAAGGAAAATGTCCTTAAAAAGCTACAAATATCAGTGCTTCTGTGAATGCCTTGCAACACTGGTCTAGTTCTCCTGTGTAAGTAGCCAGAAAAAATATTTTTGATTAAAAATCCAATTGTGAGGATCATAATTTCTGAATAATTGTTGAAGTCAAACTTGCTGAAAGTAGAATTTGCATTCTAAAAAACTATTTAAAGGATTTTAATTGGATTGTAGCACGATACATAGAAGTCTGTTTTGTTGCAGAGTAAACTGTAAGGGGCACAACACCAGGTTTGTAGTGAATTGTGTAAATTTACCTTAGTTTCTACAGAGTTCTCCTAATCAACTGTTGCAACTTCAACAAAAGTCCTGGGAATGGTGTAGAGCAGAAACTATTTACATAGTTTATGGGGATATCAGAATTATACTGTTCAAATTCTCCAACTTCATTTGCCATATTTACTGGTCTCAGTTATACATTTGTACTGAAGACATTTATTGATTGCAAGACTAGTCATATAAGATGACTTCTATAACATAGATAACAAGTTTGTTTTCATATAATGTCTTATCGTTTTCAGATCAGCTTGTTTGCCTAGTTTCTGTGGACATGCAGAACTTTCCTCCTGATGCACTAGCAGCAGTCAAGTTAGTAGAACAGCAGAGCACTCTTCAGCAGCCAACACCTGAGACTACTCGATCAGTCACAACAGAAAACGTTTCAAATCTGAGCACCCCTGTAACAGGTATGAAATTTGATTCAATCCACTTATATATTTAGCCAAAATAGCATTGAGTTGATTTTGGGAGAGATTTGTAAGCAATCTCTCATACCTTCCATTATGATTTAGTCGTCCAGCCTGATTCATCAGTGTTAACCTTTTTGTGACCATTTTGTGCATTCTCTGAATCCAGTGAAAAATAACTGCGATTACCTCTATCCTGTTTAGATACTGAAAGAGGTGATATGGATTATTCTTTGATCTCAATTATTGCCATAGTAGGGGAAGCTGTGGCCTTGTGGTATTATTGTTTAACAATTAATCCAGACACGGTAATTTACAGACCATTGTGTTTGTGGTTCATGAGAACCATAAACAGAACACTAGGTAGACAGAGGGTAAACTTGAACAGGGACTACTTCATTATGCACCCTGTCAGCTCCACAGTTGGTTTTAGATTGCCCCTCTCGCTCCTGCCTCCAAGTCACCTGACCTGCTTTGTTAAAGTGGCAACGTTCCCAACTACATAGATAACAGCCCTCTCCCTTTATTTCTATATTTCCCTTATCTATCCAACAATTATAACTATTATACAAGCATTGTAGCTAATGTATGTACATCTTCAAAAAATATACAAAAAACAACTTGGAGAAAGAAAACGACCCTTCGGTAGTTTACATTGAGGAATTGCTATCCTCCTGTGAGATTGATCATGTCAAAGACAATCTCCTCATGTCAGGAACCTGTTCTAGTGTAGTCTCTCCGCCTTCTGGAAGCTCCTGTTGTTCTGCAGTTAAGACCATCTCTGGCTGTTGTTGCCCTACGATACTGCTATTGTTTCCTCTGTGGGTGGGCCCAACTCTGGCTTGGACGCACGTGACTTGATCGACACCACTGGCCCCATCTGGACTGGTATGGTATTCTGAGGGACCTCCCCGACTGGTGAGATGGAGCACCCAGTGGGTCTGCATGTCCCCTCCAGACCAGTTTTATCCCTAGTCTGCAGTGTATATGACAACAGTCCTGATTGAGCCACCAGCACCGCTGGGATCTATTTTTTTCTCCACATGTATAATTCTGGGCTCACAGACTCTGTCCTCTTTGAAATACCCTCCGCCATAAGGTTTCCGCCTTTCTTGCCTTTTTGAAGTCGCTATATCATGTCTCTTGTCTCTTTAGGCCGCAGTAAATCAAACATAGTTCTCAGCTGGCATTTGAACATTAGGAATGCCAGCATGCACTGGATCGTCGCATGTGGCATTCCTGCGGAACTTGTTGAGTCACCATCCTAGTGAACCCTTTTGAGGCCATTCCTTGGGTGAGGTAACAATAAAGCCAGTGGTTTCCTTACTATTGCATAGGATTCGCATGATCCTGCTTGCTTCTCAATCTGGGAGGCCACGTAGGGCTGCCAAAAGTAGCTTCTGACTTTCTTTCATTTACATCCAGCTGCAGTGCCATTGGTGCATTTGTTCTAGCACCTTTCCTCTTAACATGGGAGGAACAACAATTCTCATTCCCCTCACTAAACACCCATCTTATACAACAGTTCCTACCTCCTAGACCGGTAAGGGCATAATTCTGGGCAGTTTCTATGACAAGTCCTTCCTTTTCAGGACTAAGTCCACCACTAGGCTCAAAACCAGGTCATTCCGGATAGCATTGTGCACCTGACTGTCTAACACTGGCACCTGGTCTCACTGGGAAAAATATAAAATTTTCAGTTGAACGCATCCTTATTTAAGGGTAGCGGTTGACAAAGCATCTGTATTGTCGTACGTCTCTGTCTGTCAGTATTGATTTTATATGAGTAGGCAGAGCCAGTGCTTTTCTCTGCAGGTGTGCTGCTGCCATTGATAATATTCCTGTATAAGGGCCAAAAATGGAGGTTAGCAGCCTGTCGTCTGTCAGCAGCACGAAGAGTCTGCTATAAAGGAAATGGGTGAACTCCTTAGCAGCAAGCACAAAGCCCAATCCTTCCTTTTCTCCCTGGGCATACTTCTCTTCTGTCTTTGTTAGTGTGCATTTTGATAAGACAAAACAGGAGGATTTACACAGTTATTGGTAGGGCCTCGGGGAGTGTTGTTGAACAGAGTCCTAGGGGTTCAGGTACATAGTTCCTTGGAAGTGACATCACAGATAGATAGGGTGATAAAGAAGGAATTTGGCATGCTTACCTTTGTTGGTCAGAGCATTAAGTATAAGAGTTGGGATGTCATGTTGCAGCTGTACAGGACATTGGTGAGGCCATCTTTGGAGTACTGTATACTGTTCTGGTTGCCCTGCTATAGGAAGGATGTTGTTAAATTGAAACAGGCGCAGAAAAGATTTACAAGGATGTTACTGGGACTTGGAGGGTGCGAGTTCGAGGAACAGGCAGAGACATTTTTCCCAAGCATTGGAAGTTGAGGGGTGACTTTAGAGAGGTTTATAAAGTCATGATGGGCATAGATGAGGTAAATAGCAAAGGTCTTTTCCCTAGGGTAAAGGGAGTTCAAAACTAGAGGGCATAAGCTTAAGGTGAGAGGGAAAGGTTTAAAAGGGACCTGAGGGGCATCTCTTTTATAAAGAGGATAGTTTGTATATGGAATGAACTGCCAGAAGAAGTGGTAGACGCAGGTGCAGTTACATTATTTAAGACATTTGGACAGGTATATGAATAGGAAAGGTTTAGAAGGATATGAGCCGAATGTAGGCAATGGGACTAGTTTAGTTTGGAAAACCTGGTTGGCAGGGACGAGTTGGACAGAAGGATCAATGTAATGGGCCTTTCCTCTCCATTTAGCAAGATGTGTGACAGGACGATGCCAACCCCATAAGGTGAGGTGTCACATGCCAACTGCAGTGCCCCTTTGGGTCAAAATAATTGAACACTTTCGACATTATTAGAGCTTGCTTCACCACCCCCACATTGCCAGGTCAATTTCAGTAATCACCCTTTTCCCAACCAATGCATGGTTGCCAGATCAGACACTAACTTGTCATAGTAATTTACAGGTTCCAAAACGATCTCCGTTGAGACACATTCTCTGGTCTAGGGGCCTTCATGATAACTGCCATCTTCTTGGGCATCTTCTTTAGACCCTCCTCATCAATTACATGGCTCAGGTACTCTGTGGAGTCTTTTTAAATAATAAAAACTTGCATTTCTCCCTTTTTTTACTTGTGGACTGTGTTCCTGCAACATTTTTAGGGTTTTTTTCCAAAGTTTTTCAAATGGTCCTCCTCTGAGGATTCAGTAACCAAAATATCATCCAGATAACACTGGACACCCAGCAATCCACTCAAAATTTGGTCCATGGCCCTCTGGAACAGTGCTGGCACTGACATGATGCCAAAAGGCAGTTGCTTACAGTGGAACAGTCTCCTATGTGTCACTATCATCAGTGGTGACTGGAGTTCCTTCATGACCCCCATTTGCACATAGGCCTGCAACAGACCCATTTTTGAGAATTTCTTTACCCAATCAGTCCACTGAACAGGTTCTCAATGCATGGAAGTGGGTATTGATTCTCACCGTGTCATCTGTTTTTAAGATTCGGACAATTGGAATGTCCCATTCAGTGATGGTTACTGGTTCCAACGCTTCACGTTCACCAGCCATTTCAGTTCCGCCTCCACTGTAAACCAGACCGCATGCGGTACTGGATGCGCCTTCAAACTCCTTGGATGAACCTCCTACTTCAACCTAGGTTTAAATTCTAATCTTTTTATTTTCCACAGGGTTCCCTCGAAGGCATCCTTATACCTGTCCAAAATCTCTTGCAAACTCATCTTTTGAGTCTGCCAGTTTACTAACCATTCCCCAATTTAACTTGAATTGCTGTAATCTGGAGCGTCCAAACAACGCAGGGTAGTCACCTTTCAGTACATACTTAGGCAGTTGGGCACACTGGTCCCCCAGCTGTATTTTTACCAGCATGTAGCCCTTCAGTGGCAATGTTTGTTCCATGTATTTCTGTAGTATAATCTTGCCAGGCAGTGGCTGTGCCTTAACTTTTCCCTATATATTTATTTGGTAATCAAACACCCCTGCCCCGATATCCACTTCCATCTTTACTACTTTACCCTCTAATTTGGGAAGAACCCAGAAACTATCAGCTTCACCCTGTGACAATAGAACGTTTAACCAAAATTCTGCTAACTTTGGGCCTTTTACTTCTGTTGCAGACCCAAATGACTCTCGGTCTACTCCCTGGCTGGCAGCATGTACCTGTGTCTTGTCCTCTGAATTATCTCCTTTAGGCACCCTTTCTTTTGCTTGAGTTATACCCAGCAATTTCGGGCAATGTGGCCCACTTCCTTACACGTGCAGCACAGGGCTTCTCGAGTCCAGCACGTTAACTCCTTGTAGCCACTCATGCCATATTTAGAGGCATTCAACGGTTGGTCCTGCACCCTGCTGAGTTTCTGCTGCTCTGCTCCTAGGTGTTGTCACTCAAGTCTGTGGTTTCCCTCGTGGCCAATTCCATCGAAGTAGCAATTTCGAAAGTTGATTTGAAATCCAGGCCTCGCCTCATCAGTCACTCCCATTCGATGGCTTCGTGTCAGAGGCCAAAAACTAAACGGTCCCACAGGCATCTTGGAGGAACCCTCCAAATTTGCAATGTTCTGCTAACCTCTTTAAGGCAGCCACAAATTGTCACTGGACTCCCCTTCATGCTGTACCCATTTGTAAAAATGGAAACAGCCCATGATAGTCAGTGGCTTTGGTGCAAAATAAGTTCCTAACACTTCACATAGTTCTTGGTATGTTTTCTCCAGGGGTTTCTCTGGTTGCACCAGATTTCTTGACTCCAGGAAACCATACCATTATGTCTTCAACCACCTTTTTTACCTTTAAACACATCAAAATGTGGTGTACAGAGTCTAACATTCTGTCTCTTCTTTAAATAGTCCCAGTGCTCTAAATTGGCCTGCCATTTTGTTTTTCTGCCACTTCAGTCTAGTAGCTGTTCGCAGCCAGAGTCTCCTGTATGAACATTGTCTGCACCAGTTATTCCATCGCCCACTTCGTTAGCATA